TTCGATTTCAAAGTCATGACTCTAACCACTAAACCAAACCACCTCCCTTTGTTGTATCATAATAGCAAGAATTCAGAAAAAAATATTGAAGTTGATCCACACTGTATGCTAAAAACTTCGTTCTAAAATATTAAAACAGTCAGTTGGCTTGTTTGGATCTTTCATACCGAAATGAATTCAGGTAATTAGAAATACGGAACCGAAAAGAGGGTTATTGTTAATTTACGTTGTCAAAAATTACGCTTCTTTGTTCGCATTTAATTTTATGGTTTTCGTTAGGACTTTAAAGAACATAACGCCTGAAATTTTGATTAGCTAAGGCTGTTTTAGTAATTGCCCCTTGATCGTCAAGAGAAAACTCAGTGAAGTATATTAATAATAAGTCGGTTTGTGAGTGTTTGGAATAAAATGCCTTATCAAAATGTCTTAATGTCAAAATAGGGCTTGTTATTTACACCGAAACAAATTACAATGATATACAAAATTCTCAAAGTAAAGAGCCCAATTTGTTATATTTATTTATTTATAAGACAGAAAAAAGGGAAAAGACGTACTGTAAAATGTATCATAAATCGAATTTACGGCAGCTTATTTTGTGAAAAAGGCGTAGGATTCAATAATAAGCAGTATGATAAATGAAGTAATGGAAGAACTAAGTTTACCAAAACTACTAATCTGAAATGTTTGCAATAGGTCAAGGTACCAGACCTCATTCCAGCTAATACTATTGAGGCCATATTTAAGAAATCTTCCAGCAAAAAGATCTAGCTCCTTAATAAGCAATTAGAAAAACAGGAATGTCAAGACATATGGAAGACATCAAAACTTTTCATAATTTTGAAACAAGGCAAGCCTTGCGGCGAAGAAAGCTCTGACAGACCTACTTGTCTCCCCAACACAATAATCCTAATAATTAAATAAAAAGAATGCTGGAGCAGTAACTGAGCTAACGGGACGGCCTATCTCCGCAAAGGAAAAACTGCAGAAGTGGTCAAGGAAGCCATGAGCGATTTAAGAAGAGGGTAATTGGCAGCGATTCTCTTTGACCTTAAAAACGCCTTTGATATGGCCACCTGGCGCATTATCAACGAAAAAATGAAATCAAGGGAAATTCTTAAATACTTGATAAATATAACTAGGAGTTACCTATCAAATAGACACATATTAATACATAAGGTACACCGGAGGAAGTGGAACCTATATTTTTTTAAATCTGAAATGTTCGCTGAATATCTTTGGAAAATGACCGGCAGGCACATCCAAATTTTAGGGGATATTTTGTAAAGGTGTTTGCTGTGTGTACATACATTTTGCCTCAATTCTGAAATTCGCTAAAAATATACATGGGCTCAAATAAAAAAAAAATTCATTAGGTTCCACTTGCCCCGTTGCTTGGGGCAAGTGTAAATGTGTGCAAGAAATACTTTCGGGTAGGCTGAAATAAGTGTGGGGCATGTAGAAACAAATTTAAATTAATTCTAATTTATTGAAAAAAATTACATTTCACAAAGATTTTGTCTAACAAATGTTAATATGTAGTAAAAGATATATCAAATTGAAACTTTCCCCGTTTGTCGAACGTCGGTGTGGGTAGATGAAGGTGCACTTCATCTAAAGTCTTCAACATCTGGCTACAGAAAATAATTTGTGGTTCCAACTTTTCTTGCAAATTTGACTTCGATACAAGGATTTGCTTCCGTTACTTGGGCTACATAAAATTTGGAGAAAACTTTACTATTAGCCAATCCATGATTTCAACTTAACAAAGTAAGCACACTGACGTTGTAGAAGAGACACCTTATAATTAAAAAAAAATCGTCCAAATCAGACAAGTGGTTTTGACAAGTATTTCCTTTAAACTTTTTGTTATTTTTTGATGGTGCGTAAATTTATTGGGAAGTGTATATATGCCAATCTTAGTATTACAGAAATGGTTTACGTAAAAAAATAAGGTTTACAAATACGTTAAATTTATTTATCTCTCGTAAATCATCAGTAAAATATAATATAAATTATTTTCATTCATAAATATTAATTTTTAAAAAATCTAACAGACGAAAAATCTTACAATGTAAGGGGTTTGTAGTACCCCACTTTTAAGCGACAGTTTCACATGGCAGTTGAGTGCTATAGCAGCGACTGTCAGGTAGGCGTGGTCACACTGTTAGCTGTGAAACATATTACTGTTATAGAAGCTAAATGTTATATCACTTACTGTTATAACTAGATTTTTTTTTACTTTTTGTTATAGCAGTCGTATTTAGGTTAAAATAAAATGGCGAAATTTGTTAAAACTGTCAAACGCATTGCGTTCTCAGATGAAAAAATTATAGAATTAATTAAATTATATCGGGAAAATGAATGTCTTTGGAACATTAAGTCGGCTGAATATAAAAATAATATTAAAAGAAAAGCTGCAATTACTGATATTGCCAAAAAATTGTGTGTCGAAGAGGAAATAATCAAAAATAAAATAACTTCAATACGATCTACGTACTTGATGGAAAAAAAGAAAATTTCGGATAACCACAAAACAGGTTCTGGTACAGATGATCTGTACTCACCGACAGTGCCATGGTATGAGCATATGACGTTTTTAACTCGTTCACGACCGCTATTATGAAATTTGACGATGCTAGAAACCAACCACGTTTTTTTTGCGTGGCATAACTTTTTGATAGAAATATTATATGTTTTATAGATTATATGTGTTTTGTTATCTATTTTTTGTATTTGTATTTAATGTCACATATATGTAACATTGGTTTCCGAGAAGTTTTTCATTGAAATATACCACCTGTCACAATAGTGTGACGTGTTATTTTGGATAAATTATAACATTCTTTATAATCTAAATGAAACTAAGGATACATTTTTTGATTATTTATATTGCAAAAAACTAAAAATAACTTCCTATAAAAAAACAAACTATAAGAAAGACATAATTATTTTGAGAAATAAAAAACACAAAAAATCTAAAAAAAAAACATTGTAACTCTGACTTTGCAGAAATTCTCATTTTTGACTTTTATGCTACATGCCAAAACATTGGGACTGACATAATCCAATAGGGTTACCTTTATTATCCTTAAGCCGGCCTCAGACACTGCCTATAATTGGTGAATATTCGGCATACGCGGTCCTCCGCGTAGTGTGTGGAAGCTCAACTGCGCCTATTCTTCGGCATTCGCTAATTCGCTTACTATCCATAGTCTTGTCGGTAAAACGGCACGCAGCAAAGGAAGACGAAGTGCCTTCGCGCTCATTCGCGTTAGCTCCCAGTCAGTGTGCTCAACTACGCCTAGTTGATTGCCTATTCTGTCTTTAGTCAGAGTCGCACCAAGTTTAGCGACGTGTTCTATTATTTATTTCGTTATTAAAATTACTCTACAGGCTGCAACTACAGCCGCTTGCTCATCGTCACTATCCACTGCTCTCCGCTACTGTTCTATACTGAGGCCCTGTGGCGAACGTTTGGCAACATTAGAAGATTTTCCAAATGCCACAGTGTATGGGAGGGTAACCGAAGGCATGCTGAAGGCGCAGTACGAAGGCACATTCGCTGAATACACGCATTGTCTGGGGCTGGCTTTACATTGTAAACAAGTCATGCTTCTTTTTGTTTATCTACAACCAACAAAAATCTGCACAAGTTGGGAGACGATATAAACCACAGTAGCCACGTGAATTTAAGGTTATGACTGGAACCAACCATCCAATCCTAAAACCATATGACACATGTGTGTGCCAGTCATACCCAGAAACTGACGCCAAAACACATTTGTCGCCACTTAACCGCCCAGGAGTTATTTGCATTTAATCATTGTAGGATCATTGTCACACATTTGTGACATCAGTTCCTGGAGAAAACTGCTTGTCACATATATGTGACGCGTGGTCGTCAACGTGTTAAACAATGTGATAATTGCCGGCAAAACTATATCTAATTTGGAATTCCAAATAATAGAGGTAAGTGTACTTTTAACTATTTATTTTATATTTATATAACATTTATTTTATTTATTTTGTTCCATTTATTATATTCTAGTCCATTGAAAGTCGATATCTCCTTCATTGACAAAATATTCTGCAAACTGTTCTCGTGTCTGTCGAGCAACATTCGATGAAAAATTGGTGCTTTCCTGTTTAATATGTGGTAATATATCAGGCACTGTTTTATCTGTATTTATTATAGTTTCTGGGCCCATAAAATTGAGTAACACAGAGCAACATAAAAAAATAGAATATGTGGTTTTTAAGTTAGTGTTTATTGGCCTTGCGAATATTTGAAATCTGCTACAAAGAATACCGAAGGCATTTTCGACAACTCTGCGTGCTCGACATAACCTATAATTAAACATTTGTTGCTTTATTGATGAATTTTTTGATCTTGGATACGGCTTTAGTAAATTGTGACTTAGCGCAAAGGAATCATCACCTATAATGCAGTAATTCATATTTGTCCTTCTACCTAGTAAAGGTTCAGGTGCAGGAATATTTAATGCATTATTAACATTAATAGCTTTACATAGTGAGCTATTTTTATATATTCCGCCATCCAGAAATTCTACCATTTCCTCCACAGTCAATATAATCAAATTTGTAGTTTGCGAGAAGCACATTACTGTGGTAACCTCTATAGTTGTAATAGTACTACCCTTCGGATGGCATAATGCATATGTGCTTGCCATCCGAAGCTCCTATTATATGTGGAAACTGCCATTTTTTTTTTCGAACTCAAAAGCAATTTTTGTCCATTCTTCCTCAGTAGATGGAACCTTAAAAAAAGATTCACAAACATTATTATTAGTACATTTATAGTTTTATTTTAGGTCGAAGAAGACTTGCAGTTAAATACACAAAATACAGATATTACAAATATAGCTACACCCTCTCAGCGTATCACACAAACTGTACCACAAAAAAATCTGCAACAGCCTTATTAGTTGGAACTCCTCGAATACCACAGCTTAAAAAAAAGAAAAATCGACAATGATGACATGTCTACAGAGAAATCTGTAGATGATGCCATAAAGAAATTAGCAACATTTGGAGATCAAGATGTTTTTGATAATTTTGGTAATCTATTAGCCTTTCAATTAAAAAGTATTTCGATGGAGGATGCTATAAAATTACAAATGTATATTAGTAACATGGTAAATAAAATACTGTTAATGATACATCAATCCAAATCTGTTTCGTCTTCTAGACTCTCTCGTCCATCAACTTACAATTATAGTACTAACAGTACAAATTATTCATCTGATGACACCTCACTCAATACGGTATTATATAAATACACAAATGAGTATGACTCGGAAGACATCAATAATACGCTAATATATGAAAATTTAAATCCATATGACAGAGAAGACGTATCAGACAATGCTGAAACTAGAGATGTAATAAGCAAAGCACTTCGAGGAATACTTAATAATTAAAGTATTCATTATTTTCATTTTCATTTGTTCTATTTTAGATGTACTTTTACTTTGCATATTTTAAGTTCGATTTCATAAATTAATTGTTATAATAATTTCATTAAAATTTCAATAATAGTTATAATATTGCTTTATTGAAAATGAAAACTTATCTTTAAATACGTATCCTTTAAAACAATGATAATACACCTCTGGTATGAAATTTCCTATTATAATTCGTGATATTCGACTAAGGATTTCCAAAGACTTATATGAATTGCCACTTGCCAAATATCTTAACGTAACAGCTAGGCGAAGCTTAGAACTTATGGAACTTCTCATATGAGTATCTTGCTTTGCAATTAAAGGTGCAACTTAAAATTTTTTACTTTGTTGTTGAAAATGTACAAGAATTATAATATACGTACCTTCTCGTGCAGTTCTAAAAATTTTTCGTAAGGTAAACGAGTATTATTTTGAAAATCACCTTCTACATTTAACAATTCAGTTAATAAATTATTGTTCATGTCAAACTGAGGCCTGTTTAATAAAGGCGTCTTTACCCAGTACCTTTTCTTATTATATCTCCTTCGTTTCGTTTCAAGAGTTTTCTTTAACATAATTTTTTTCTTGGCTGATAAACAAATAATTGCACAATTTAACACTTCTTTTTAAGTCAGCACCATTTTGAAGCAAGCGATTAAACTCACTTTGTGAATCAGGTGATAACAGTAAAACTATCGCAACAGGAGTCACCCCCACCAAACAGTACAATTGTTATAGCACTCAACTGCCATGTGAAACTGTCACTCTAAAGTTTATTTTTGACTATTTTCAAAAGGAAAAAAATACTTATTTTATCAACAAGTTAAATTACTAAAAATTAATTTTTATGACCTTAATCATCCATTTTATAACAATTATTAAATATTGCTTACATTTTCTAAAAAAAAAAATGTATATTTGGGTTTTATTCAGAAAAGTACGTATTTGGTGGATCGGCCATATTCGGTTGATACCGGCCAAGTGATACCGTTTCGAATGTTTAAAAGAGATACTTATAGCGTCTCCCTACCTTAGTTAGTGTTTTTTAGCTTCCAATAAAGACAGCTTGTACTCTTGTGAATAAATCAGAAAGTATTAGTGAAAATGCCGAAAATAAGTGGTATTGTACACTGGATTAAGCCATATAAAGAACTTTTTTTTAGAAATGGACAAACGTACTGCTCAGATTGCAGCAAAATTGTTAGTTTAAGTTTCTGTTTTTTTTTTGTGTATATTATATTTCGATTTGTTGGCATTTTTTCGTCCTAAATTTTATTGAAATGATCTATGTTCGATAGACCTAAGCTTAGGAAAATAAAGTCTCTAATTTTGCTTTGTTTTGCTGAAAAAAATCTTGAATTTAAGACACTGTCTTATTACGTCGGTGGAAGTGGAAAGAAGCTTTTCAATTTATAAATGCAAGTATTCTGATAGAAAACTTACATTTTTGTTTACAAATTTTGAAAAAACTTGGTGATTTATTGTTTTAATATATAGATTTAATCAGTGGCGGCTTGTTGTAATTTAAAATGGGTGTTCACTTTTTCCAATAATTTTATCATTTGTAAGTTCGGTTCAAAATCGTGTACAAGTGTAGTTATTATTATCAATATCATACTGTTTTCAAGCACTATAACTATTAATAAATAAATATTTTAGTTAGGGTAATATTTGTTTTGTTTTTAATACGTTGAAAACCATCCATAAACATTATTAGTTAGTCAACTGACTTTTCTTCATATTTTGAGATTATTTTTAAATCGACATTGATTTTTGTGTAAAAAATATTATTACATGAAACTTAACCTACCAGTTTTTCAGTTTTTATTGTAAATTTAATCATTTTCACTATTTGTCACACATGTTAAATAAAATAATATATTTTTTAAATATTCTTTATTGGCAAAAAACAAGTGAACTAAAATGTGTATTTTATAAGATCATATTCAAACTAGAATAATATATAATGCGAGGCATTCTAAATTATAATGTTCCCAGCTTATCAGACCCTCTTAACCCTCCTTTTCAATAATTTTCAGAATCAATAGGCTTTATAGTCCAATCATTATAGTAAGTTCACCTCGGAATTCGAGATACCCAGCTGTAAGTCTGTAAATACTTGTATATTGACACCCTAAAAGTTGTTTCAAAACCTACATATAGTAGGGTGTACGCATCTATTAAATTTCAAGGTCAAAGGTCACAAAAATCGGTTTTTTGCGCTTTTTTTGTAAATATCTCATTTCCTACGGGTTTTTCGCTATTTGTATTTATTATTAATATTGTATAATACAAAATTCTCTAAAAATTTTGTTTAAAAAAATTTTTCATACGGTGAACCGTTTTCGAGATAGATGACGGAGAGCGCGCGGTCACAGCATCACTTCAGGTCAACCGGTGCCTCCGGTCGAAAACGCGCCATATATAGTTGATGAAATATCGATAAATCAATGATTATAAATATTTGTCAATTTTTATTAACTATTATATTATATTTTATCATTTTTTTTCCTAACCTATCCACTTTTTATTTAGTATTAATTTATTTAACAACACTTACCTGCCCATGTAATTGCAAAATTGTTAATGAAAATATAGGAATTATATTTGAATTTTAACCTAATTAATATTAATAAATTCTTACATGATGAAAAAAAAAACAAATAAATTATGAATTAATTTTTTTATTAAAAAATTTCATTCAATACATTTATTTTTATTAAAAGTAAAAAAATGGAATAGAAGGTACAAAAACTACAATTTATAATTTTAATAATCTTCTTCCTCTTTATCGTCTTCCGGCTGCTGGTAAATTTCAAACTGGTCTTCATTATCGTCTTCAACGACATTTCTCTCAAGTTCTTCCATGATTTCGGGGTCAAAGGTTCCATCTTCGTTAATGTCGCTCTGATATGGTAGAGCATTGAAACAAGCTTGCCCATTACATTGGCCACAAGCTAAAGAGCATTGCAAGCCCGCTTTCCTGCATCAGCATCGCGAACCACAACCACTCTTGCAGTTGCAGAAAATTGTATTTAGCAAATCTTCTGGAGCAGGTGGTAAAATTGTCATGATAGGCTCCAGAAAATCGTTTCGCATTGCCCAACTCCATACCTGGGGTTCCAAGTCATGCCTTAACCAAGTTTGAACTTAATAATATACACGTTTAAAAGGTTGATGAGCAGCTGCTTTTGTTGGTGGAATATTTGAAAGCTGCACAGGTTAATTAAGTTTTGTAGACTTGACGTAATGCATATAACGAAGATGATCGAGACTTTTCACAGATTTCGGAGCATTATAGACTGCCAATAAGATTTGAGTTCCACTCTCTAATAATCTCTGGGCCGAACAATTTTTTTTCTCAAATGCTGCAGCTAGTTCATTCAAATTTGTTAGTTTCTCAAAAACTTTAAAAAATGATTTTTTCCCTTTTTAAAAAGCGCAGAAGTTGTGTCACAGCCACTTAATGCGTGTACAAATAAAATATGTATTTTGGAATGAGGATAATTATCAAAACTTTTAGTCAAGTTTATCCCCGTTTTTACATTTCCTTTCCCAACTTTTTTAAAGAAAATGTCTTGTTAGTAAGACAGTGTACGCCCAATTAAAATGACAAGTAAATCAATATCCTATTATAACTGCAGTTTTTTCAGAATTTGATTCTTTAATTGCAGTTTCAACAATAAGAACATCAGCATTATCTCTGGCTTGTTTAGTAGTAATATTTGCAGCTTGTAATTTTTCAATTAACATATTAATGAGCATATCTTTGTTATTTCGATTTGATAAGAATTTTTCTTGAGTAACTGGTACAACTATTGTTTCATCTTCTCTGCTGCTCCATAGCTTTTACGTTCTTACTGTAATCTGAATTTTTTTAAACAAAATTTGTAGAGAATTTTGTATTCTACAATATTGATAATAAATACAAATAGCAAAAACCCATAAAAAATGAGATATTTACAAAAAAGCGCAAAAAACCGATTTTTGTGACATTTGACCTTGAAATTTAATAGTTGCGTACACCCTACCATATGTAGGTTTTGAAATAACTTTTAGCGTGTCAATATACAAGTATTTACAGACTTACAGCTGGGTATCTCCAGTTCCGAGATTCTTACCTAATTTAAGCTTAAATGACTGGACTATTATCTCTTCTTATAGAGTTTCATTTTTACTTAACATTTCATGTTGATATTGCTTTTCTTCTTTAATTTAGGATTTTTTTTTTAATTTCAATCCATCCTAACCCCCTATTTTTTAATAAGACAATAGACTTTGTAGACTTTGTAGTGCTTGGTTTTTGCTTTAAATTTTCAAGTTGATATCATTTTTCGTTTTGGACTTATCGTGCAGACAAAAACCGTGACATCGGACAAAGTAAACCTATAATACTATTCACAGACTACTGTGTGACAAGTAGAATAATAATATAATTAAGGCTAAAACAATAACATAATAGCCTAAAAAATATGTACACTAAAAGAATGATAAACTCAAAGAATCAACAATTATTTATTAGGTATATCAGTACTTCAGAAAAAAAAATAAATCCCTTTCATTTAATAAGGTCATCGTACTAAATTTAATCAGGAGGTTACTTTATGTTCTCACTTGGTTCTCAAACAGAAAGTCTAGATAAACTGTGCTGTCATTCTAGTCAGCTTTATAGTAGAGCAGACTGAATGTTTCATATTTACATATAATAAATATATTTCGACAAAAAATTCAGTTGGCCCCAATTATTGTCACAATATATATATATATAACATAAAACAAAATAAACTATAATTTGAAGTAAACATAACCTCAAAAATAATAGCAATTTTTTTTACCTCTGACGTTTTTCGGCGACAATCGTTGAATTAACACACATACTTCCGAATTATTAAAGTCGCAGTTTCATTTAAACTTAATTTTTAATACAATTTACAATTAAAATTGTCTCATGTTGTATTTTTAGAATTTGACAGCTT